CACCTCTGGGGTCCCCGTTGTGAGGGGATGTAGATGGGGACCCCGCTTCTGCCCTAGGCCAAAGGGGGATGAAGAGGGGTATGTGTGTTGTGTCCCTCCTGCTCTCTGCTTGAGCTGTGGGGCTCGGGGGGGCTGGGCTCCGGGTCTGCCCCTCATCCCAGTCCCTTACCATCCCCTTGCCTACCTGCAGGAGACACTGATGGGGAAATACGGGGAGGAGGCGAAGCTCATCTACGAGCTGCAGGACCAGGGAGGGGAACTGCTGGCCCTGCGCTACGACCTGACTGTATCCTGCTCTCTGCACCCTGTGGTTATCACTGGGGGGATAGTGGCACCCCGGGTTGCTGCCACCCTGGTGTCCTTGGGTCGCCCTTGTCCTGCCCGCAGGTCCCAGCAGGGTGACACAAACCCCCTTCTGATCCAGTCCTGCACAACTGACCTTCCCAGTGTCTTGGCAGTGATTCTGAGGAGCAGCAGGGTTTGCTGCAGGGACATCCCAGGTGCCTTCTCCACCTCCATGGCTCACCCAAAAGCTCTCATCTTTAGTGTCTAAGTCTGTGCTGTACCTTGAGTTCTCTCTGAGGGTGAGAGAACTGAGCAGCTCTGGAGTAACAACACATGAGGGACATGGAGCTGTTGGATTGAGGCCAGAGGAGGCCACGGAGCTGCTGCGACAAAAAGCTGACTCTAAGTCCAGCAAGGCAGAAAGAGTATTACAACTGACAGTGTGACAGCCCAGGCTGTTAGTATATCTGATGAGATCGATTGCATGCAAAAATAAACAAAAGAGGCTGTGTGAAAGGAAAACAGTGGATTTTAGCCTGTATTATTTAAACTGACAGAGGATAGATTAGATTACATATTAGGCAGAAGCTCTTCCCTGTGAGGGTGCTGAGGCACTGGCACAGGGTGCCCAGAGAAGCTTGGGCTGCCCCATCCCTGTCTGTGTTCAAGGCCAGGTTGGACACAGGGGCTTGTAGCAGCCTGCTCTAGTGGAAGGTGTCCCTGCCCATGGCAGGGTGTTGGGATTGAATGAGCTTTAAGGTCCCTTCCAACCCAAACCAGTCTGGGATTCTGTGAGATGGTCTAGCAAAGGTCTGTGTCTACACGGTGTTGACATGCTGTGGTTCAGAAGGTGGTCAGTGGAGTTGTCCTGGTGTTGGAGGAGCTCTGCCATGGTTCATCATGCTCATCATCAACCCAGGCTGATGAACTCCCTGGAGAGTAGGGTGCAGCTGCAAAGCAAAGGGGAGATGAGGAACTTTAAGGTTCAGATTTCTTGCAGCTCAGGGGATCTCCTCTTTCTCGTCCTTAACTGCTTGGCCTCCCAGGTGCCCTTCGCTCGCTACCTGGCGATGAACAAGATCACCAACATGAAGCGCTACCACATTGCCAAGGTCTACAGGAGGGACAACCCAGCCACCACCCGGGGCCGCTACCGGGAATTCTACCAGTGCGTGAGTGTTGTGGTGGCCACTGCTTGGGGGGTGCTGCTGTGGGTTTTGGGTCACCATCAGCAGCTGTGGGGTGCTTTGTAGAGCCAAAGCATCTCAGCTGTGCCAGGAGTCTCTGCTGCTTCTTCTGCCCCCAGGACTTTGACATCGCTGGGCAGTTCGACCCCATGATTCCCGCTCCTGAGTGCCTGAAGATCGTGCATGAGATCCTGAGTGACCTGCAGCTCGGGGACTTCCTCATCAAGGTGAGCTCAGAGCCAAGGGGTTTCCATACTTCTGTGCCTTCCCTTCCCAGGGGATTGAAAAGGCACAAGGGAACGACAGTGGCTGCAGCTTCCTGCAGCCCTGGGGCAGGAAGGAATGGTGGTGGTGGATCTCCCGGAGCTAAGTGTCCCTCTTCCATCCCAGGTCAACGACCGGCGGATTTTGAATGGGGTGTTTGCTGTCTGTGGGATCCCAGAGAGCAAGTTCATAACGACGTGTTGTACCGTGGACAAGCTGGACAAGGTGAGAGCTGTGCTCACGGGGAGGGTGCTACCAGTCTCATGGGGTGCGTGGCTTGGGCTGGGCAGTGTCAGGGCAGCTTTCATCATCCAGAGCTTCACAGCAGCTCAGCTGTTGGTGTTTGTGAAGGATTTGGGGAGCTATTAGACATCATTGAGAGAGCCCTGGTGTTGCCAGTGGTTTCTGTTAACAATTCCTGTGCGAGATGTGGGTCATGAGTGACTGCTGACAGCTGTCCTCCTGCATGTGTGGTAAGTACATGTGCTGTACTTACCTGCAGCGATGGGTGTTCTTGTCTCCCCTCACAGGTGCCGTGGGAAGAAGTGAGGAGTGAGATGGTGGGGGAGAAGGGGCTCTCTCCCGAGGCTGCAGATCACGTTGGGGAGTACGTCCAGCTTCACGGTGAGCACTGCGGGGTCGAGCCCCTGGCTTTGCTCTTCCAGGAAGGGCTGGGAATGAACGTGGCTGGGCAGGCCCCTGGTTGGG